CCTGTTACTTTTTGAGTGGCCTAACAGATACAAAGCAAAACAAATCTTCAAGGGGAAAAAATAGAAATAATCTCATAAACTGTTTAATTTTCATATTAGGATTTACAACAGTCCTAGCTAGGGTGACCAGATATCCTGATTTTATAGGGACAGTTCTGATATTTGGGACTTTGTCTTATATAGGTGTCTATTACCCTCCACCCCCGTCCTGATTTTTCAGACTTGCTGTCTGGTCACCCTAGTCCTAGTGGTTCTGAAATAGCACATACACAGGGCATTTTTTTGTTTGTTCATTCATTTCAGTTATTCATAGACAGCTTCCTGAAAGCACCTTCAACCCCTGGTGACTTCAATGAAGTATAAGGAGACAGAGCAGTGTACATGATGGGGTCCTACATTTGTTTTTGCCCCTTTTAATTGTTTGCTCAATGTAATTAACATAAAAAGAAAATCGAATGTTTAATTGTGGTGGGTTTAGTTTTTTTGGGTTGTTTTAGGTTTTTTTTTTTTAATGCATTGCCAGATTTCTGATACAACATAAAGTAGAGAGAAAATCCTCCCACCACCTGTGTCTAATCTCAAAATATATAAGTATTAGAAAAAGGCAGGGGAGCCAAGCAAGGAGATCCTAAAATGTAAACCCATCTTTGTGGCTCAAGGCAAGTCAATTCATCTCTCTACCTCAGCTTTCCGATTTGTAACCAGTAGAAAGTAATACGTACCCCACAGGGGAAGAGTTGGGCAAATTTTTTCAATCAAAACTATTTTTCAGCAAAAAATGCAGGGTTATCTATACCAAAATGTTTTGCTAGTTCATTTTGATTTTGCCATTTTTTTTTCCTTTCTGGGAAAAAAAATCCAAAGAAATCTAAACATTTTGTTTAGACATTTTTGAAACACAGTGTTTGGATTTTTTTGTTTGTTTGTTTGAAATTACTTTTTGTTTGAAAATTTTCTTTAGTTTTATTTTAACAAATTCAAATATATTTTAAAAAATCCCAGAATTTCATTCAACCCAAAACCATTGTTTTACATTTCAACCAAATCTATTTATTTTTGAAAAGGAAGAAGAAAGAAAATGGGCTATTTTTTAACTAGATGTTAGACAAGTTCAGATTTTCCCCATCTTCAAGCGAGAATGAGGCTGTGGATCATTTAGAGATGATGTTTAGCTGTGTCCCAAGCTCCATGGTGATATTTTAGTGATTACTTTTATCATTATTTATTAATTATATTGCGGTAGCACTTAGAGCAGAGGCAGGAGTGCCGAAATAGGAGGGCCAAGGGGCCATAGCCCTCCCACTTTTTGAAAGTGGATGGACCTGGCCCCACCTCTCCTGGCCAGGCTGGCAGCAGTAG